TGAAGAAAAAAAAAAAAAAAGAAGTTTATACTCCGCCGGACAGCCTGTATTTGGACAAGCAAAGCACCAAGTTCCTTTGCAGCGGGACACGAGGCTTTCGAACCCCACTTAATTGGGATCCAGCTCACTCTACAAATTATTGAGGTTCCCGTAATATTATTGGGATAATGAGTAATGATAAGTGGGATGATTTTGAGAACGAAATTGGACGACGACAAGTGAATCAATCCCAATAATAATTATTAATTTGACCATGCTTCACTCGTCGTTTTTCGATTTCGTCTCCAAAATCATCTTGCCTATCATTATACGGGATAATAGTCCAATGGGTAATAATTTCAAGGGATACAATACAACTATTCATAAGCAAATATATAGTTGTTCAGAGGAAAAAAGATTTTTATAATTTAAATTAGATCAGATTACAAGACAAACATTTAGATGAGAGGTAAATGACTTGATATTGAGAGTCTCATTCTATTCAAAGATTTATGTTTTGTGGTTTTATTTAATTCAAAATGAAAAATAAAATCTTTAAAAAATATCTAAAAAAAATTTAGTGTTCATTTGGTGTAGTGGTTGGAGTTTTTAATAAAAATTTTGTTGAAAAAAATATGTTATAGAAGTGTTATTTTTGTAAATAAAAAGAAATATAATGATAAAATAAAAATAATGTGTTAATTTTATTAAAATTCAAATAAAATAATTTTGTGAAAGCATCAATTTGGTACTTCTAAAATTTGTAATAAAATAAAGAAAAGATCAATTTGTAAAAAATTATAATATTTTTCATAATTTATAATGTTAAGTACAACTTGTACTTTTGAAATCAAAAAATCCTTCCCACAAACTGCAGCAGACAGGCGCTGCACAGAGTTGAGTTAAAGCTGAGTGCATTTATGTTGGCCGGTAATATGTAGAGGGCTTCAACTTTCTCAAAATTACGTAACTGGCAATATATGGTTTGTCGTTCTCTGGGTCTTGGCAGACATCCCAGCACCAATGAGCCGCTGCCTTCTGTAGCCTTGGATTTGGATTTGGATTTGGATTTGATATTATGGCATAACTTTTTTGTTTTTTTATTAACTAGCACAGTTAGAGGATAGGGATTGTAATTGTAAATATTTAAATTTTAAATTTT